CCTTCCTCCCATTTTCTCATCACTTCCATTCTTCCACCTTTTAAGAGTTGGAGAGAAAGCGTGAGAGAGAAGGAGAGGAGGAGAAGAAAAACGGTGTAGGAAAAACTATCGAGATTTCGGTAAGGAATCTGATATTTCTTTAGACATCTTAAGGAGTATTTATAGAAATTAAAATAATGAATCTATGATTTTGTATGATTTGCATGTTCTATGTTTAGTAATTTTAATAAAATAATTTTTTCTTAATTTCAAGCATATTATGTGATTTGTAGGTATTTAATAATTTTCATGTAAATAAAATAATATGAAACTGATAAAATTATCTGGAAAATAAATATACAAAAAAAAAGAAAAAAGAAAAAATGGAATAAAGTCTGAATGGTCCGAAATATGTATATATCTATATTGACATGCATAATGTATCAAGTATCTTATTAGGTTTTTTATCTCTGAGGGGTATTTGTTTCCCCTTTCTCCATCTGGTTTGCAAAGATGTGAGAGAACCACTCCCTGTGAATGATGGTATATACTCTGACGAGAGCAGTGATGCAAATATCTGTTAGGGGTCACCTTTGCCTAAGTACTATTGTAATTATAGAATATTTGATAAGACCACTATGGTCAGTACAGCCGTGGTCATAGATCGTACCATGGTTTGGTAAGCCGAAAATGTGTTTGAGCAAAGTTTCTTTATCTGTATTTGATCTGATCATTCCACATGGGTAGTCGAAAATCTGTATCTACCATCAGAGATGAAAATTAGAACAACTTCCCGAAGCATGACACGAAAATCTGAGCATTTATGATTTATTTAATTTTCTCTATTGTTAAGTATGCTGTTTGTTTTTTATTGTTGTGACTATGACATAATGTTTTCTTAATAAATAAATTATTTTCGTAAATGAGGATAGGATTTTGACGTGGCCTAATGGTAAGTATTTATGATATAATTATTCACCTTTTAAACCTTACAATGTTATTTAAATACTGTTTTCCTTACTGAACATATGAAACTCACTCTTTCTATGTCTACCCCACCATATAAGAAAAATAATGAGGGACCATCAACTGACCTACCCATTGAAGTTTTTGAGGATCCAGTGGATTCGCAAACCTTGAGTGCATAATTATTTCTACACTCTGATGAGTCCAATAACATAATGATAGAAGTGACCCTTTTTGTATTTTGATATTTATATTTTGTAGCCACTTCTGGCCTTAGTTATATGTATATTTGGAAGTCATCTATTTTGTAAGAGATTTGTATTAATTTACTCTGCTGCATATAATTTTTATCATGCACTCGT